TTATTTTCCGTTATCTTCTCGACGGGGATCGACTCGCCGGTCAGTTGGCCTTCCTCGCAGGCAAGGTTCATGGCTTCGAACATGCGCATATCTGCGGGGACGGTGTCACCCATCTTCAGCAAAACGATATCTCCGGGGACGACTTCGGGGCTAAAAAACGATGGATGGGTCAGTCACAAATCGTCGACAGCAGTAGGCAAATACACAATCAATTGCCTCGATCGGTAACACTTACTTGGAAATAACCTGAGTCTTGCCATCGCGCAAGACCATAGCACTGGGAGAGGAGAGGGCGCGGAGAGCATCCATGCGCTTCTCAGCGCGGTACTCTTGCCAGAAACCAATGGTCACATTGAGTACGATGACGAAAACAAGCACACCACCCTCAATGTAATCCTTGATACCAAAACTAAGACCCATGGCAAAGATAAGAACCTGTAAAACGTCTCCATATTAGCTCAATTGTCCTCTTGTCGTGCATGTGCCGGGAGGCGCAGCCGGAAGACAGCCCCGGCCCGGGCGTAAGTTAGAGTAGCGGAAGCTTACCAGAATCATAGCATTGAAGAGCTGCTTTGCAAAAATCTTATACCAGGGAACGGTGCCCCCTACATCGAGCTCATTGAGAGGGTATTTAGAGTGCAACTCATTTACCTGAGCTGTCGTCAGACCCGTGTCGATGTTGGTGTTCAGGGCCTGCGCAGTCTCCTCGAAAGTGAGCAAGAAGGGATGCTTGGGGTACTCAGCCGTTATCACCGTCTGAGACTTCGGCATGATGGCGGTGGGAGGGGGTTCGCTGCTCAATTGCAATGGAGGGAGAAGCGATGGCAATGCTGGTTGAGTGCTTCATAGACGAATATATACGGCCCTGGAGGAGGTCCGGGGGGAGAACCGGGCAATGCGGTTCTTCCAGAAGCGGCTGTAAATGCAAGACTTCAAGGACCACGATGTAAGCTTGGCACCTTGGAAGAAAGAGAGTGGATTAAACCTTGTTGGAGAAGAGAGAAGATCAAGAAGAAGGTCTGGACCGGTTGTGGGGGAAAGGGCAGGTATAAGTACTTGGAAGGTGCGCCTGCCGTCGCCCACGGAGCTTGTCCATGGTGACAATGACGACGCTGGACCGGCTTCGGGTTCGCACATGGGGCCCATGCCGACGCAGCGCATGGCACCGATTGATCCCTCACTCTGTTTGCCTTTGGAAATACACCCAACAGAGGGGACAGAAAACAGTCCGTCTGCGCAGCGGAATTGGCTGTCACAATAGCACCCTGCGCCAAGACCTCTAGCCCAGCCCCACTGAGCCACTTAGCGCCAGTGGCAGGGATCTTCCCACAAGAGTGGCGACCCCTCCACACCTTGTGCTAGCGATCCATCCCCCAAGCTCCGAGCCTACAGGCCTAGGGCACCCCTTGCTGGAGCCTGGCAGTTAGTGGGTGCGCGTGGTGAGAACTGCCCAGGTGCGCTGCTGTCCAGTGGCTGTAGCGCTGCGGCGGGGGCTTGGCAGTGCTGGGAACGCCTGGAGTTCAGAACGTGCCCCCGGCTGGTTCTGGCTGCTGGCCGTAGTCGCACTGTCCCCCCACATGTCCTGCCCTGTATCTTGGGCTTCCGTCACTGCACCACAGGCCTGCTCAGCGCTTCTCCAGCGTTCCGCAGGGGTTGCATCCAGCCTCCCTCCACTGCAAGCAGCATCTCTCCACCGGCCTCAGCAGGCTCCAGGCCCTGTACCACATCGCGGCCAGCCAACATGACATCATCTCCCCTCCCTCTGCCTTTGCTACGTCTGTGGCTTTCTCCATCCCAATTGCAACCCTTTAGTACCATTGATGTGCGCAATTGAATTATACGCAGTAGCTGCCTGCTATAGCTTGGTGCCACATATTCCCCCCACCGTTGACGCGAGTGTTGACAAACGAGTGAAGTTTTGGAAGATTACGGCATGGGATGGGAGGGTGGATGGCTGGCTATCACTCAATAGTCTCTCTTCCACTCTCCCACAAAGCTGCATCCAATCGACATCATTCTGCCTGCCGTCGACCTTATCGACCTCGCAACCGGGCGATCGCTTGGCTCGTGGAGATCGTACCATATCTGCATAGCTAGCCCAATTAATCTAAGATGGACTACCTGGGGATGCCTTCAACTCTATGTCATTCCATTGTCCCCCTTGTCACCCTGTTTCACATTGTTATCGCCAATCCCGTTTACCTCCATGAAGTCGAGATGCGCCCGTCATGTGCCCGGTGCGAGTCGGGCTCGCCTCTTCTCCGAGCGCGGGTATGTGGCAGACTGCCATGCGTCCTTGTCTCTTTCCTCATGTCTCACAATGCTACACTACGGCACGGGACACATCACAGAGGCAGCAGAAAATTTCAGCGTGGCCCCTGCTGATGACGATGGCCAGATCCGGACTTCAACTCCATTGAATTTTCTTCTCCATCTCCCTCTTGCCGGTGCGCATCCGAATCACCAGAATGGGAGCCGGCTTGACACTTCTTGGCCGGCACAGCTTCATCTCCCCTGGCACACTATCCATGCACTCTGCCTTGGCGATGGCTCGGGAACTCCTGTGCGTGCTGCAACGTCCGTCGGGGGCCTGGGATTGTGTCTTGGACATGGGCCAGTGCCTGGAACCTGGCCCTGATCGCGGCCGACCCAGCCTCTTGTCTCTGCTCTTGTCTCTGCTCCCACGCGCTCCAGCTCTCCACTGAGGCTCAACCAGCCAGTACGGGGCGCACTGTGCCATGGTGAGGATTTAGTGGTGTTGGGAAATACGACGCCAAGGCTTGTCAGTGTCTTGGCGATGGGTTTCTCTAAGCTTCAGAAACGCATTGATGACGACCCAAACAAAAACTCTGCACGCACGCAAGCCCTCAGCAAATGAGCGGCCCATCCAGCGCCGTCACCCATTCCAATTCTCTCTGATGCTTCCGTTTTCCCCCGTCGCGGCCGCTCACCGGCAGGGAAGAAGTCTTCCGCATGCGCGTGTCTCAGAATGGCTCCTCCTGTTGTTTCTTTTTTTCTGCGTCCTTGCCTCTCCTGTCCTGGTGCAGCGCGAAGTGAGGGGAAGCCTGGGCCAGAAATCGAAGGCATCATTTTTTAAGGTTAAACCGCCTAAGCTTAAACGCAGAGTTGCCCAATCATGGCCCTACATCATATCGCTACCACCTTCATGCTTGCCAGCCCGCAGGCTCCGGGGGTTGCAAAGGCCGCTACTCACGACTAGACCGGGCCTATTAGTCATAGTAATATGGGTGCATCAGTGCGACCTTGGGTTCCAAGGGTGCCCGGCGCTGCCAATCGACGGCCTGCGATCCTATCTTGGGCGTCCGCGCTGCATATGCACTGCGATAGAATAGGGAAAACGACGGAGGATGCAGGAAAAATTGCTGGCCACGCGCATATCTTTTGTCCCTTTCGTCTCGCCTCCTCTGATCTTCGACGCGAGCCGTGAGCCATGAGGTCAGAAGGGTTGCAGACACCGAGAAACACCCGGCTGGGGAACCCCCAATCACGCCAGACTGCCTACATTACGCGGACGTGCTACTGACATACTAAATACGACGTAACGGCTTAGATCCTGCCGATATGGCGGATCTACTTACGTATGCTCGATTGGTATCTTTCGGCTCCTTCCAAGACAGAGCATAGGTGCCAGAGATAAGTCCACCAGCCTGCGCCAATAGCAGCCCAACCTTTGCCGGCATGGAAACGAAAACGAAGAAGCCATTGTCCCCGTCGCCATGACAGAAAACAGGACACCACGGCCCCACCTTCTTGTCCCCTGCAACCAATGGACGGTTTGAAACCCCTGCTAGTTCCTCTCTGGTGTTCTTGGCTGTCCCCCGGTTCAGTCCGTGCGCTGCGCTATCACGTGCCCAGCCTCTGGTCAGCTGACCAGTCACGCACCTCCTCCCCCGGACAAATCGCCGTGGCGCAGCTTGCGAGAGCTCCGGAGGCGGCAGCATGTCAGTCTTACATTCCAGGTGGACCGGGACGCAGATACGGCTTTCGCGCTCGCTCCAATGCTCGCGATCGGAAAACGCCACGCGCCGCCGACCGGACCTTGTCGTGGTCTTTTTGGGGGCAAACGGACCCGGTCGGGCTGACTTTAGTTTTGTGATGATATATCCAGGTTTGGGTCTTGGCGGTGAGCAGGCATCCAGGTGCTGACTCGAGCCAGAGAGGTGAATCCCGTCGCGGACCATGACCGAGTAGAGGTAGATGACGACATCAAGATAATGTCGGGATCCGACTGCGGCAAGCCACAGATGCAGATCTTACTTTCTCCTCGCGTTGGGCACCATGACTATACGGTGAGCATAGTTATCAATCGACTTATAGCTTGATATGATAGAATTTGGCTTGCTCGGACCTCAATCCCTACCTATACCAAGCTCCCAATATTGTTGCAAAGGCTCATCATATTGTGTGATATCTACTAGTAAACCCACGTTAATAGGTTGGATCTCAATCTCCAACTAATTTACCGATATAATCCTACATCTAGATAAGAATGCCTTGATTAAGATCCCGGATATTGTTCAGCAAGACGCATTTTCTACGGCACCAGACCTGGATGTTGGATATAGGGTAGGTTCGCGTCGCCCTACCTTAAAACCAACAACACTGTCGAGTCAAGCTGCGCCCCCCCATGTGCCCCCATCTTAGCTTTCTTAGCCTCGTTTAGCGCAGAGATAGCCTTCGAGCCAGATTAGGTTTGTTCTAGAAATGTTCCACTAGTATTACGATTCCCCCAAAAGTAAGAGTAACGCCGATGACATCCCGTGTCTTCATCTGCACTCCAACTCCGCCTCGGATTCCGTGTCGGGCAGTCCGAGGCCGTGCAGGTGAAATAGGGGTTTGGCCACTTATCTGGCGAGCGCCGCCATCTCGTGTGCGGGCCTCCGCTCCTCCTAGTAGACACCGAACCGGCCGGAGCACATCCCGTTAATGGGCTGGATCTGCGGCAGCAGAGCCTCCGCCTCGCCACATCTCGAGCCTCCCTACACCCATGGTGTGTCTTGGCGATGCTCCAATGTTGCGTTGAGGTCTTGTGGGGGATCGGGGGAATCTCTCCCCAGGCGTTCGTGGGCGGTCATCCAGGCGCAGACTTGCCTCTCCGTCTTCTCGGTCTCGGCACACTCCCCCGCACCCTCGAGAGGGCTTGCGAGGAGGTGTAAGGGGGGGCGAGGATGGAGGGGTCTCTCTGTGAGCATACGCGCCGTGCGCTTGGCGGAGGGGAGTTCCATGTCAGACTGCACACTCACGATATCGCATATTGGTCCCAAGTGGATGCCATGGTAGACAGGGATGCGGGATTGAGGCAAAAGAAGAGGCTGGCATGAATTGAAGAGTCTGTATTTCAACAAAAGTAGTGCTTGTTCGCACTACGGCAGCTGTTCTACGCTGTAGATGTCAGGGATGCTGTGCTATTTCGAGTAGAAGATCTCGTAGAGTGGTTGAGGAGACAGTTACGTCTCTTCTTTCAGCAGTTGTTCCTGGAGCAGACTCGGAAAATTTATGGGAGTTCCTCCTGTGAACCTGCCGCGCTGTCTGCATCGATGGTTCGAAGTTGTTCAGAAAGTTGCGGCTTGTGCAGAAGCTGATGCTGTTCCAGAAGTTGCTGGCTGGGATGGCCACCTCCTAGGAGAGGGATTGCGCATCCTCGGACTTGGTGAGGTTGTTGTAGAATATCTCGCTTCTTGGGTCGTTCTTAAAGTGGGATTGTCTGTGTTTATGCCGTCATCTATATTGAAGTCTAGAACTGTAACTCTAAAGCAATGTCACTTCAGAGATCTACCATACATATGCGATAATCAATCAGGTCATTATGTTGAGCAACGCCACCACTGTGATGCTGACACAGGGCTGGATGTAAATACACTATCTTCTGCGATATCACGCAGAGCTCAATCAATGACTACGACCTAACTTGTGCCTGAGAGTATTGTGCCTGAGAGTATTGTGCTTGAGAGTATTGTGCTTGAGAGTATTGTGCTTGAGAGTATTGTGCTTGAAAATATTGTGGGCATGCTTGACCCATCCTCCGCCAGAGATCATTCTCATGTTTCCAAAAAAGAAAAGCATCCATCTGTTCCAGGCAAATAACTTCATTACAATTCCTCATCATAGACCCATATCTAGAATAGCAGTATCGCACACAGAAAACTAAGTTACACGTATTACCGGATGGCTTCCCATTCCTTCTTCACCTCATCCCAAATAGCCTGGATGACATAGCTGTCCGATATCGTGTTCCCGCTATCCTGGTACAGATTCATATCCTTGACCGGCATCTGAGCCGCAAACTGGAGTGCCTGCTGCTGGTCCATTGCGGCCCTTGCACCATTCGCTGTCAGGTATCCATAACCGACCTATTCACAACCTGTTAGCAAGTATTTCACTAATCTACAGTGCGCGTTCGATGCCCCACGAAAGAGGCGGACGCTCATATCATGGAAAGGATGTGATATGAGCTAGATAAACTTACCGATGAGTTCCCAAACCGCTGGCCATTATCACTCGCGGCAGCCTCGGCCACCGATCCGCCGATGCCCGAGATGATGGCGTTCTGGTTGGCATTGAGGCTTTGCATCAGGTTGATGGCCATCATCTGGCCCTGCATGTCTACCTGCGCCTTCATGGCCAGCTGCTTCTGCATCTGGGCGTCGTGGCGCGCCTTGGCAGCCAGGAACCTCTGGAACACTTCCTGTCTCCTCCGCCAGAATTGGGCAAAGTGCTCCCAGTCCCCTCGGGTCATGGCTTCGCTGAGGATGCGCCGTACCCGGAGGGTATGTGACTGGCAGACGAAGCCTTCCGGCAGGGCGTTGACGGCGGCGGTTTTGTCCGTCATCATATGCTCGAGGTCGGTGCCTTTGACGTGGTTGACGAAGCACTCGGCACACACGGCGAAGTGGAAATCGTCGGGGTCGTCGGGGTCGGCCGAGTGGCCCAGGTAATGTCTGTTGTTCGCAGGCAGGCATACCCGAGTGTCCATGAAGCAAGGGGGCGGCATCGCGGCGATTAGGTCGGCGTAGGCATTGAAGGGACGAATGTCGCCGTATGATACGCTATTGAAGGCGATGCCATCCCGGAGGACCTTGCCACGCCACGAGACCGTGCTGGAGAAGCTGTTGATGTCGTCCACGCTGTGATCATCGTCTTCAATCACGAGCGTCAGGAAACACTGGCGGACAAGCCCTTCGACCAGTGGCCTGTCCAGACGCTCAAAGAGGCTATCCATACCAAACACTTGGATGCATATGTGGTAGCAAGACGGGCAGATTTCGATGTTTGGGTGGGCGCGCAACTTGTACCAATGGAATTCCTGAGGGGAGCGCAGCTCTGCCTCGTCGACACCAATAAGCCCAACACAGGTAGGTACCTTGGCCTGAATTTCGACGGCCTTGGACCAGACAGAGAAATCACCTCGCCTGGCAGCAATTTTCATGGCGAACTGAGAGAAGTTGCCGGCTAGATTGCAGGCAGTAGTAGCTAACTGTTCGGGAGGAAGCTGGATCTCGTGGCAGGCGCTCTCCAGAGGCGTGCCAAAGACATGATCGTAATAGCAAGAGCGACAGAAAATACCAATATCAGGAGCCTTGGCGGCATACACGAGATCGCTCTGGGTCTCTGTGAGCGCAATGCCTACTCCGGGGCATGAGAATGGCAAGGAGTGGCGTGCAATGGAGATGGACACCCAGCGATGGTAGTCGGGAGAAGGAGACAGCAGCTCCTTTGTGAGCATGCGGCCAACCGCACCACCAACGCCGAGATCACAAACCCATTGCGAGTCTGTCTCCGTACTCGTGCCATTCTTGAAGTAGAAGTAACGCTCGAATGGGGTGGAGCGAACGTGCAGCTCGTAGCATGCGTGGCATAAGCCGGACTCATTGTCCTCCTGGACCGCCCACATTCCTTCCGTAGAGGGCTTCAACACACCCATACAGCCCTGGGACTTTGACAGCACCTGAGGCAACCCAAGCAAGGGCTGGATGTTGTTCTGGGCCGCGGATTGAAGTGCCGTCTGCAGACCGCGAGGGATACCAAGACCACAAATGTAGCTGGAGTAATTCATCCGCTCGCGACTGTTGGGATCACGGGGAGGCGTCTGGTACAGGACGAAATAGGGAGCCAGGCTGGGATATGGCGCAACATGGGCAGCGAAGCAATTGGCGCAGATGGCGAGGTTGAGCTCTTCGGTGCCAAGCTGAGCGCGCGTCTGTGGGTGGAGGACATAGGGAGGGTTGGCCTCCACCATGACGGCGATCAACGCCAGACAGCCATGGCTCGGTTTTGCTAACGTGGGTGGTGGGAGCTCGTGTGATCGGGACGCGGTCGGGGACTGGGCGGGCTGCGCAGACGGCGTGGGTTCAGGAGAGAAAGTTGGGGAAGTAGGTAGTTGTTTCTCAAGCGCGGGAGGCTGTTGGACGGGAGGCTGCTGGAGGGTAAGCGATTCTAGCTTGGACGCGAGCGGATCTTGTTGAGCGGGCGGGATAGGTGAAGGCTGGAAGGGCTCAGCCAGAGGAGGGGATTGCGGCGCAAAGGCATTGAGCGGAGCAGGAGCCGATGGCGAGGGAAGGGTCTGGTAGGTTTGCTGCTGCGGTGGTTCGAGCGGTGCCTGGTAAACAGAATACTGTTCCTGCTGGGTATAGGAAGGATGGGAAGGCGGCGGGCCGGGCGGTGGCGCATACTCCTCGAACTCTTGAGGCTGGTCTGGATGGTAATAGTGGGTGGATGGCGGGGTAACTTGTGGTTGTGGTTGCTGCTGGAGGGCCGCATTCGGATCTGGCGGCTGGCCGTAGGGGTCGTACTGCTGCTGCTGCTGCTGCTGAGCACCTGCGGGCTGTTGGTTGTACTGCTGCTGGCCATATTGGCCGTACTGATCACCGTACTGGGGGTTGTCGTACTGGCCCCCTGGCTGCTGTTGCTGTTGCGACTGCAGTTGCTGCTGCGGTTGCTGCTGCTGCTGTTGGTGCTGGGCCCATTTCTGCTGGCCCTGCTGCACGACCCCGTTCACCTCCTTGTAGGCCTCCTTGTACGCAACCTTGACCCCGCTCTTGGCTTTCTTGAACAGACTCGACATCGGGCCGCGATCGATCAGTTTTTTTCCCCTTGACGGCGATGAAATGGCGATGAGAGACCAGAGAGCGCCAGCCAAGACAATGTGACACCTCGTCTCGTATATACAATGCATGCGCCACGCTGCACCTGAGTCTCGAAGCCGCCCGCCGTCGCATAGGTAGGCTCGCATTAGGCATAGAGACCAACCTAGAACCGTCCAGACTCGCGACACTATTGATTTATTTGCGGGACGACCCTATCGCAAGGCCTTCTCACCCAGAGATAACCCGGCCTGAGACTGCGAGTAATGGTAAGGGCCAGACCATATCAATCAACTAGAAGGGAAGGGGTTGCATCAATTCAGCTGGCCCTGGGATCAAATGCAATACCACGCACACAGCACCAACCCAGCACCAACAGAGTCAATTGAATGCATGAGGAACAATGCATGTGATGCCATGCGACAGGTCAAATCCCATGTCATCCGGTGCGCAGCCAGCACGACCAACAAGAGAAGAGCACTCATTGCGATCGGGTCCCCATTGAAATCGATTGCCTCCCGTTGGCACCTTCGCAGCATGCGACAAGAGTTAGTATATGGGCAAGCCAGCTGGGTCCGGCTATGGCATAGGCAGCGCCTCGGATCAGCTCACCTCTTTTCTCCCCGTCCGGCCGGTCTTCTCTCCTCCGGCCCCGCTCACACCCACCCGAGGAGGTCGGTCCCACCGCCTCCAGCATCAAGTTGCGTAGCGTCCAAGACGGAGAAATGCCACGCTGTGTGATCAATCACGGAGCTTGCATCAGCGCCAAGGCTCTCCACCCTTTCATGTCCCTTTCCAAAGACTGAACATTGCTGCCGTATTGGTAGGTTTTCAATGCGAGACGGGCATGCAATGGGGCGATGGGGTCAACGACTTCGCCAATCTACCTACGGGCGGCCCGTGAAAAGACTGCCTAGTCTAGTGGTAGGCACACGGGACAGGGGACCTTCGGATAATTTGAGAAGATGGATATCCTTGTTTAGGTCTGGAGATGTGTCCAAGTGAGATGCCGTGTCTCAAACTAGAGGACCGAGCGTCCATCAAAGGCCAACCTCTGCTCGGTGCTCATGGCTTCACATCTTCTGGGATGTGAATCCCGGCCAGGGTGCGGTCATCCCTGGGGCGACATAGAAGCCCATTCCACCCAACAAACTCTTGCGACCTGAGCCGTACCCCTTCCCTCCTGGACAAGATC